AAGCGTAAAGGTCTGGCGGATGCCTCGCGCACGACAGTAGGCTCGCAGAAGGCCAGAGGAGAACTCTCCGCCTCGGTCAGAGTGCAGACGCAGAACACGAAAGTCCGAGCCGAAGCTCATCCTGAGCTGGAGACGAGCTGCGCGGATCCAGTCGATCAACACCTCAGCGACATCACCCTTGCTGCGCAAGGGGAAGACTGTGGTGTAACGCGAGTAGTCGTCAACCACCAGCAGGAAGTAGCGCTCGTGACCCTGTCCACGGACGCGGGCCGGGCCCCACACGTCCATGTGAAGCATCTGCAGCGGGGCTACTGTCGGGGGAAACTGAGAGGAGTGAGGGGCAGCTCGGAGCCGCCCCTCGACACAGGGGACACAGGAAGGACCAAGCCCCGGAGGAAGGGGAGGGAGGGACCGGGGAAGACTAGAGACAAGGACACGGGAAGCCATGCCTCGGAGACGAGGCAAGGAGGGGTGACCAAGACGGTGGTGCCAGAGGAGAGTCTCGTGAGACAGGAGGCGACACGAGCAGGGGCCAGACTCAGGACCAGACCCGGACGCTGCAACAAACACCTGACCCGACGCAGCTACCTGACCAAACGCAGTGACTGGAGGAGACGCAGTGGTCAGTGTGTACAGGCTCGACCCCGGCCGACGTGTAAACGTGGCCAGGTGTCGGCCTGTCCGAGCGTCCGTGCAGTGGGTCACCCGCTGACTCGCAGGAGTGAACTGGTGAACCCCCGTATCCTGCAGGTCAGCACCACTCACAAAGTTTGTAGAGAACGAGGGGAGGTAAAGACCAGACAAGGTGCCAGAGGGGGCAGCCGGACACGAGAGGACAGTGGAGAAGTGAGAGAGGATAGGACCCCCAGAGGGGTTTGCCAGGGAGAGTGCAACTGGCCGACCAAGCGGCGTGAGTGTGGTGCGGTCTCGAAAGAAGGAGCGAGAAGCCCCTGAGTCAAGTGTGAAGGTGAGGGAGGCCGAAGCCGACGTGGTACCTAAGAGCGCAAACTCACCAGCACCTGAGGGCGCGGACGCACTGGCACCTAGAGCAGCAGTACCAATGCCCGGGTCGGGCGGGAAACACCGGTAACAGCCACCCTCATCACTAATAGTCACAGCATACATGGCAGCAAGGATAGCATCAAAGTCAAGATCAAAGATAGCTATGCCTGCCCTAGACAGCTCTCCCCAGCGGGGGATCTCACTAGCCTCCGGGAACTGCTGACGCCAAGCGTCCGTCAAGCGGCCAAAGCAGCGCTGGGTGGGGTGAGCACCCCCACACTGCTCACCCGCGTGGTCGCCGGAGCGAAGGACGTAGGTGCACGGGCCAAAACCCCCACCACGCTGACGCTGCGTGTACCACTCACGGAGCTGCTGAGGAGGGGGGATGTCCCGAGAACGCTGCTGCTGCTGCTGCTGCTGGCGCTGACCACTCCCGGAGCCGCTCCGCTGAGAAGAACCACCCCGACCAGCTCCACATCCTCCACCACCGCCGCCTCCACCTCCGCCGCCACCGCCGCCTCCGCTCCCACCGCTACCGCCACCGCCGCCTCCGCCTCCGCCGCTGCCACTGCCACCTCCACCCCCGCCACCACTCCCACCGCCACCCCCACTCCCCCCGCCGCCCCCACCGCCACCTCCACCACCCCCGCTAGCCCCACCCGCGCCCTTGCCCCCCTTGACCTTGCCAGAGCGGCGTCTCCCGCTAGGGGCAGACGCCGCACCGACCGACTCAAGACCAACGAGGTCGGCCGCAGCAGCAGAGGCGACAGAGGGCAACAGGGGGGAAGGGGAACACCCCTCAAAGATGGGGGTGCGAGGGTCACCACGAGAGGCTCCTACAGCGACTATGCTCTTCTCCGCCGCTAGGAGGGCCTTCTCTAGGAGGTCAACAGTGAGAGTGGTGGGACAGACTGAGAGGAAGTGGTCCCTGACTACACGAAGGGAGTTAGGGAGGCGGGTGACTATATAATAGAGAGTGATGTACATGGGGGGGGGGGTTCTTGGCGCAGAACTCAGCAGGAAGCGCGGCGCGGTAGCGAGTGTCACTAGTGCGGAGGTGCGTAATGAGGTCAGCGACTGTGGGAAAGGCAGCAAGGTCAGGAAAGAGGTACGGTAGCATGAGGCGGCTCAGTGCAGCAGTGGCAGGGGAGGAGTAGCGTGCAACGACAGCGTCGTACAAGGTCTGAGCACTCTTGTACTGGCTAAAGTGCGCGCGCTCAGTGGTAGGCAGGTGGCGACGCACAGCGAGACGTGCAGCAGCATCGCGAGTGGCCCACTGGGAGCGACCAGTGGCGTCGGCATCGGCAGCAGGGGCAGGGGAAGCACTAGAGGTGAGGTCAAAGAGGGAAAGACCGTCTGCCCTATCGCACTGTAGGAAAAGCTGCAGGTCATCCACCCAAACCTCAAAGTCAATGGCTCGACCCTCAGCGTCAAAAGCGAGAACACTGGGGGTAGCCATGACAACAGTGGACTAGCAGTACCAACTGTAGGACAGGGGCAGTGCAGTGACAGAAGCGCTGCTCTCACCAGGCAGGGCGGGTCGGGCAGCTCAGCGGTACAGCAGCACGGCAACACGGGTGCTCGGACGGCACTGCAGCAATTGCGGCTCCGTGGCACCAGCGGCTCGGCTCCTCAGGCGGCTCGGGCGGCTCAGGCGGCTCGGGTGGCTCGGGCGGCTCGGGCGGTTCGGGCGGCTCGGGCTGGTCGGGCGGCTCGGGCGGCTCAGGTGAGTCGGGCGGCTCGGGCGGCTCGGGCAGCTTGGGCAGGTCGGGCGGCTCGAGAGGCTCGGGCGGTTCGGGCGGCTCGGGCGGCGCGGGCGGTGTAGGGCGGCAGGGCCGCTGGTGCAAGGGGCGGCTGGGCCGCTGAGAAGGGCGGCGAGGCCGCTGCGGAAGGGCGGCGGGGCCGCTGAGTAGGGCGGCGGGGCCCCTGAGCAGGGCGGCGGGGCCGCTGAGGAGAAGGGCGGCGAGGCCGCTGAGTAGGGCGGCGGGGCCGCTGAGGAGAAGGACGGCGGGGCCGCTGAGGAGAAGGGCGGCAGGGCCGCTGAGTAGGGCGGCGGGGCCGCTGAGGAGAAGGGCGGCGGGGCCGCTGAGTAGAAGGGCGGCGGGGCCGCTGAGTAGGGCGGCGGGGCCGCTGAGGAGAAGGGCAGCGGGGCCGCTGAGTAGGGCGGCGGGGCCGCTGAGTAGGGCGGCGGGGCCGCTGAGTAGGGCGGCGGAGCCGCTGAGGAGAAGGGCGGCGGGGCCGTTGAGTAGGGCGGCGGGGCCGCTGAGTAGGGCGGCGGGGCCGCTGAGGAGAAGGGCGGCGGGGCCGCTGAGTAGGGCGGCGGGGCCGCTGAGCAGGGCGGCGGGGCCGCTGAGGAGAAGGGCGGCGGGGCCGCTGAGTAGGGGCGGGGCCGCAGCAACGGGCGGCGAGGCCGCGGAGACGGGCGGCGGGGCCGCGATGCGGGGCGACAGGGCCGCTGTGACGGGCGGCGGGGCCGCACTAAAGGGCGGCGGGGCCGAAACGAAGGGCGGCGGGGCCGCTAGGGCGTAGGGGGCCGCTAGGGCGGCTCGGCGAGGTGAGAGCCCGGAGCGCGACTCGGGCGGAGCGCGCTTCGGGCAGGAGAGGAAAAAAAAAAAAATTGAAACTCGATGTGGTGGGCCCTAGGCACAGTTCCCAAGGGGGAACCTGCTCGATACCATGAGGAAAGTAGAACGAGAATGAATGACTAAGGAATGGAAGTGATACAAATATGCAACCCTAGAAATGTGTACCCCATATGTGCTACCCCACTATAGCCTACACAATATTATAATTTGACATCGCCTTCACGCTCTCTCTCCCATCGCCTTCGCGCAATCTCCCCTCCCATCCCGTCCACTTCATTTCCTATCGCTCACGTCCTCCCCTCCCATCCCGTCGTTTGCTTCTTTTCCCCTCCCATCCCGTCGTTCGCTTCCTTTCCCCTCCCATCCCGTCGTTCGCTTCCTTTCCCCTCCCATCCCATCGTTCGCTTCCTTTCCCCTCCCATCCCGTCGTTCGCCTCCTTTCCCCTCCCATCCCGTCGTTCGCTTCCTTTCCCCTCCCATTCCGTCGTTCGCTTCCTTTCCCCTCCCATCCCGTCGTTCGCCTCCTCTCCCCTCCCATCCCGTCATTCGCCTCCTCTCCTCTCCCATCCCGTCGTTCGCTTCCTTCCCCTCCCATCCCGTCGTTCGCTTCCTTTCCCCTCCCATCCCGTCGTTCGCCTCCTCTCTCCCTCCCTTCCGTAGTTCTTGACGGTCTCCCCTCCCATCCCGTTGTTCCCCTCTCTCTCTCCCTATTTTTTTACCTCTCTCAACCTCAAGCCCAAGGAACCCTTTTTCTTGCAGCTCTTCCATTCGTCGGCCAACATTCACTCCCAGATCGTGCATATGTGTGTGCGCTGAGTTGTGCCTGTGCTGTTGATTGTTGTGAGTTTTGGTGAAGTTACGATGACTGCTCGAGTAAGTACAGGCCTTGCAACCTTGCGCCAAATTCGCACATGTATGTGTGTGTGTTTCGCCGCTAATCAGAAATGTTAACAGGTTCCAAATGTTCCCCGTTCATATCGAGACTTGTCTGGAGTGAAAAAATAAAAACGTACAGCACTTCCAACTTTCCGAGACGTCCCAAAAAAACTTTTGTTTTCAAGTGGACCCAACTAGAAGGGGGGGGTCACTATTTTAGCTGTTGGCTTTAAACCATCCATAAACCATCCCAAATACAAGATAACCCAAGCATGTTTTCTAGTGTACGAGATCAGACATATATGTCTACTATCCAGGTGATGACGGTAGTACAAGTATCATCCAGCGGAAAATTGGAGTGTGCAAAGAACACAGCACAGCAGCAAAGCAAAGCTGTCCAGTCTTAGAATTGGATTAGGTCAGTCACTGAGAGCACAATATCCACAATCAATGGTCAAATGGAAAAAACAGCAACCGAAACAAAAAGCATACGGTACAGGTATGGTCAGACAACTGCATACTGGTTACCAGCGTACCTCACAAGACCATAGGGCGGGAGCTCGCCGCATTCATCTGTGGTGCAGCACACCAGAGGCCAGCCCATATAATCCTTTCCCCATTCCATGTGATTTGCACCGTGTGCCCTTTCTCCTTCACATCATACCCCACCTCGACCCCATTCCCGCTGAAACCACCAGCACCACCGATTCCTCTTCTCTTGCCTCCCACCCGAAACGGCGCCAGATCCAAAATCTTGTCCACAAGGTTCGGCGAAACGGCTCGGGGAAAAAATCCGAGCCTCTCCAACCGGGCCTGCCACTGCTCTACACGTTCGGGCCGGACCATGCGGTCAAGGCCCTCACAAGCAATAACATTGACTATGTCGCGGGCAAGGTAGGAGGACTCAAAGAGGGCACGGCGCGGCGAGGAGCGCGGCAGGCCCGAAGCGTCAACGCAGGAGAGGAGGTTGGTGAAGTACATAGCTGCTTCGCGGAAGCGCGAGAGGAAGAAGGGCCCGTTGAAATTGGCGTCAATGTCAACCAGGGCAAAGGCTGCCGGGCGCAGGGCATGCACAGCCTGGACAAAGGGATGGCGGTGGATCAGGGAGGTGGATTCAGGAGGGGGGTTAGGGGCAGGGGGGAGAGGATGGGGAGGATGGGACGCGGTTAAGACGAGGAGGGGAGAGTGGTGGCACAAGGAGGAATATATTACCAAGCAAACAACGAAAAACAGGACGTTAAAGGAAGTCCCACCCAACGTGTTCCCACCACTCTAAGCACCCTCCTTTACCCATCCCAACTCCAACACAAGCCCCAGCAAGCCTCACCCTTCCCCACCCATCCCCCATCCCCTTCACCCCCCTTCACCCCTCCTCATCGCACACTCACTCTGAGCACCATGTCGCGCTGATTCGCACGCACCACGGACACATCAGGCAGAAACTGCATGTGCATGGCACACGTGACCACTACCACCTCCCCAGGCTCCCCTCCCCGCTGCACCATCCCCGGGCGCAGCGTCTCCATCCTTACGCCCGGCCGCCGGAACTCGAAATTCAGCCCCAGCGCAGCAGCCGTCGCCTCAAACTTAAGCCAGAAATCCAGCAGCGCTGTTTTCATGGCGATCTTCCCGGGGCTAGTAGGCCCGTCGATAGCTGTGAGGGTGATGCGGGGGGGCGGGCCGTTGGGGAGGTCGAGGAGCGAGTGGAGCAGGCCCATCCAGTTGTCTCCTGGGAACATGCCGAAGGCGACGATGTGCAGATGGGTGCAGATGGGTTCGGTGGCGAGGGCATGGAGTATTGCCTCGTGGATTACGGTCCGGCACGTGTGCACAAAGGGGACTGTTCTGCACAGCAGCAGCACCGCTTGAGAGAGCTCCTGGCAGGGTGAGCACAGGAGGATGGGAGGGCAGGAAGAGAAGAAGGGGAGCGGCACAGAAGGAAGGACAATAGCAGCCGAGAAATGGGAGAGCAGAGTCAAAATGGGTACAGGAGAGGCGGCAGGGGGGAAAAGAGGGGAGAAGCACAGAAAGGTGAAGGGAGGAAAAAACAAGGGAGATAAAATGGAGAATGGGCACTGACAGGGGCAGGGGAAAGCAGGAAAAGGACAGAAAATCCAGACGACAATCAGGGCCAGTGATCGTATCAAATCCCAACCAGTCCCACCCATGCACTACCATGCCCCAGGTACCAATCCCCTCACAGCTCCCTATCCCTGCTGCTCCTTCCCTCCCGAACCAGCCCCTCCACATCCAACCCGTGAACACCATTATCATCAACAGCAGCAGCAGCAGCAGCAGCAGCAGCAGCAGCAGCAGCAGCAGCAGAAGCAGCAGCAGCAGCAGCAGCAGCAGCAGCAGCAGCAGCAGCAGCAGCAGCAGCAGCAGCAGCAGCAGCAGCAGCAGCAGCAGCAGCAGCAGCAGCAGCAGCAGCAGCAGCAGCAGCAGCAGCAGCAGCAGCAGCAGCAGCAGCAGCAGCAGCAGCAGCAGCAGCAGCAGCAGCAGCAGCAGCAGCAGCAGCAGCAGCAGCAGCAGCAGCAGCAGCAGCAGCAGCAGCAGCAGCGGCGGCGGCAGCGGCGGCAGCGGCGGCGGTGGCGGCTGCAGCGGCAGCAGGTAGCGGCAGGCAGTACCTGAATGGGGACGTCGAGGGGTCGCCTGTAAATCTCCAGTCCGCGGCCCTCCTGCCGTGCAGAGAGCGCCTCCAGGAAGTAGTGCACCGTGCGCTGCAGTGGGTCGCCCATCGGGTCAGCTTTCTTTGTCAGCTTGCGATTCAGAAACCGAATCTTGGCCTGCGCGCGTAGGGTACATATACAAAAGCGGGTGGACGGAAACCGGGGGAGTGAGGGGGCGAGGAGGGGAGGGGTGGAAGGGGAGAATGTGGGAAAAGGGGGCAAAGAGCACAAGAAGCTAGATGGTGAGTTCAACGAGGAAGAAGCACTTTCACTTCTCCCCCCTTTTCCCTCCCAGATCGCATGATATGGTATGGATGAAATGCGTGGCATGGCAAGGCATGGCATGATGGTATGGTACGGAATGGTACTCACGCACACACGCACGCACGCACGCACACACGCACGCACGCACGCACACACACATCTACCCATGCAGCTTCCACTCACCAGGTCATCAGTAGCATACGCCTCAGCGAGCGCGGTGAGCTGGTCTACAGTGCGCAGCCGTGCAGTGGACGACATCAGCGCCAGGCTCTTTTTAAAACATTCCAAAAAGGCATGCAGCGCAGCTCCCCACCACTCACCAGGTCATCAGTAGCGTATGCCTCAGCAAGTGCAGTGAGCTGGTCCACAGTGCGCAGCCGTGCAGTGGACGACACGGGCGCCAGGCTCGGCTCATGCTGCCACACCCCCGCCGCCTCCCTCACCACCGCCTCACCCGCCCGCGACTCCAACGGACACCCAATGTAGATGGGTTCCGGATAAATGGCCCTCTGGATGGCTCCTGCGGGTATGGCCATGGGCATCGAGGTGGCGAGGGAGAAGCGCGGGGTGGAGGAGGCTGAGATGGTGGCAGAGATGGCAGCAGGGAGCGAGGGACGAATGCGGGGAGGCGAGGCGGAGGCGGAGGCGGAGGGGGAGGCGGCGGAGGCGGTGGGGGAGGTGAGGGCGGAGGGGAAGGTGAGGGCAGTGGGAGAGTTGGCATGAGAAGGGCTGGAGGTGCGGGCGCCAGCAGCAAGGCGGAGGAAGAGGTCATTCTTGGACAGGCCACGGTGGGCCGCAGAGGGGAGTAGCGCCAGCGCTGAGGACACGGGAGCAGCTGCTTCGTCGGGTACTACCGCTGGGGGTGTGTCAGAACCGGTGTTGGTGGTAACCGCGTGTGTGGCGTGGCTCATGCTGCTGAAGTGCCTCCGTGCAGGCAGGGCGAGGGCACGGGATGAATTGCCAGCCGCTGCCGCCTTCCCTCTAATCCCAGATACCAGGCTGTCGCTGCCGCTGCTGCGGTTGCCGTTGCTGTCGCAGTCGCTGTCACTGCCGCGGTTAAAAAGCATGCCAAGGACGTCCTTCTCATTGCTCCTCTTCACAACAGCCCCAGCGTGCCCACTACTATATGCATCAGCCACCGCGTCCGCCTCTTCCTCCTCCTCCTCCTGCTCCTCTTCCTCTTCCTCTTCCTCATCCTCCTCCTCCTCACCCAATCTCCCAGACCCACGCCAATGTCCACCCAAAGACAGGGCTCGCTTCCCCGTCTCTGTCAATGCGACCGGCTCTAACTCACCAGCACCACCATCCACACAACCCGCGTTCCACGTTCCTCCCTTGCCAACACTCCTGCCAGCCCCACTAATCACACCCCTAGCTGCCCCCTTCCTCGTGAGGTGAGTGCCTGCTGCACCTGCCCCTGCCCCTGCCCCTGCCCCTTCCCCTACCCCTGCGCCTCTCCCAGTCACCGTTTCTCCGCCCCGCTCCCCGCCCACAGACCCCAAGCGGAACCCCCCTGCTGCTGCGCGCTGCAGCGCGCCGGAGCTCCACCCGTCATCCGCGTTAAGAGCAGCAGACGCGGTAGCAGCAGGTGCCGCCGCGGGGGAGCCAGCCGCAGAAACAGTCCCAGAGCTGCTGATTCGACTCAAACCCTCGCGTCGCACGCGGTCCCAGAGAGACAGCGCCGACGTTGCACCGCCCATGACAACCCCAACCCCACCAGCACCAGCAGCAGCAGCAGCAGCAGCGGCAGCTCGAGGAATATCACCGTCACCACCAGCACTTGAGCCACCGTCGACAAGCGAGTCCGCAGCAGCAATCCGGTCAATCACAGCCGCCAATCGCTGAGACAGATCTCTAGGTCGACGGCCAGGATTGGCAGCGGAGGAAGTCACTACAAGAACTTGCTGTCGCTTCTTGGGAGGGCTAGCCCGACCCCCCACACTAACCGCACTGACTTTTGGTGAAAAGGAACCAGCAGGTGCTCTGACCCTTGATCCAGCTACCACTGCCCCCCGCACTCCCGCTCCCGCCCCAGCCCCCGCTCTGCTGCCCGCCCCTGCGGCAGAAATCAGCGCGGATTGAGACCTCGCGGTGCATTTATCCCCGCGCGCACCAGGAGCACAGCGCCCGCATGGGCACGCGGAGCTGTGATACTCCTTGCGCGCGCGGCTGCTGTGCGCGAGGGCCGTGGGCGCAGAGGTCCATCGGGGGAAGGCGGGCTCGCCCGCAGGAGGTGAGGGTGAGGCAGCGTGCGCGTGAGAAAACTGCAGCAGAGGTTGCTGAACCCGCCATTGCGGCTGTTGTTGCGGCCACTGCTGCTGCTGCGTCTGCGGCTGCTGCTGCTTATCTCCCTGGCTATGGTACGAGTACTGCTCTTGCAGATTCTCCTGTCCGTGCAGCTGCTGCTCCGCGCCTTCCCCGTCCTCCGCTCCCGCCACCGTCGCTTGCACCATCGCCTCGCCGTCGCTCCCAGAGAAGCACGCGTGGGGGCTGCTGCCGTTCAGACAACTGCCGTTCAGGCTGCCTCCCCGCCAACCCACGGACGCCGACTCATGGCTCTGCTGCTGCGGTTCCTGATGTTCCTGATGCTGCTGATGCTGCTGATGCTGCTGATGCTGCAGCTGCAACACATCTACTCCACCACCCAATGTCCCTTCATTCGCAACTCCTCCCCGATCTGCTCCGCCCCCTTCCCCAACATCCGCCTCCGCCTGACCCCCGCCCACGGGGAAAATCCCGCCAACACCGCCTTGCGCCAACGAGTCTAGATTCGCGCTTTCCGTGTACGCTTCCTCATCCCCCGCTATCACGCCACCTTGTATTCCCACGACTCCGCCTTCTGCGCCGCCCTGGGCTCCTCCGCATTGAACCGCGGAAGCCGCAACGCCTTCCCCATCATTACTCTCCGCGCCGCCATCCGCGCACCCTTTTCCGAGCGGCTGCTCGTCGGCAAGCCCAAGGTCCGCCGCGAGCAGCGCCATCCAGCCGTCCTGCTGCTGGGCCGGCAGCGACGACGTCGCGTTGGGCGGCAATAACGGCATCGCCGAGTAAAGCGTCGCTGGCAGCATCGCCGGCGTCGCTTCTGGTCGACCGTCTTGGGGGTAACCAGCGTGCTGCGACGAATTCGTTGCACCGTGAGGCTCGCGAAGCTGCTCGCAGTAGCCTGCGACGCGAAGAAGCCCACCGTCAGCATCACCTTCAGGTTCACTGTGAAGCTTTTGAGACGATGGCGATCCGTCTGTTACATCGCTCGGTTCGCCGGCTGCTTGCCCCGGCAGGTCACACAGGTCCGTAAACGTCTCGAGCCCGTGAAACGCGTCGTCTAGCAAACCAAGGCCGTAATCCCCGTCAGCGAACATGTGAGTGTCGGGCCCGACGGGAAATGATTCGAACGACGCGTTCACTCCCGCGGCCTCCATGAGCGACGGAGCCGCGCCGGGAGCGAAGGAAGGGGGCTGTGGCTCGATGGAAGTTGGATGGGGATCGAGGTGCTGAGAGACAGATTCTCGAGGTGCGACCTGCGGAGCGACGGAATCCCGGTGGTCTTGAAAATCGTGTGGTGGGTACGCGCATTTGGTACCTGTGGCGAGGGCGGCGATGGCGGAAGACTGAACGGGAGCCTGCGAGGGGAGTGAGCTGGGAGTAGGGTGTACGAGGGGTGTGGAATAAGGTGGAAACATGATACGACGTTACCTGAGTTAGGGGATAGGAGGGGACCTTGAGATAGGTGAATGGCGACTACAAAGGAATGTATGGACAGAAAGCGAGGAAAGGGTGTCGGAGGAAAAGGCTTGACGAAAAAGCTGCGCATGCAACAGCGAACCGTGATACTCTTGTTTAAGATTCACGCAAAAAAACGAGCCCTAAAAAATAACGAGCCCTCACCAAACCAAACATCTCCGCAAGGACGCATAACGATTGCAACACTTGCAGCCAAACTGAAATCACACGATACTATGCAGTCATACGTGTTGACGTACTTCCGACAGGAGCGCGAAAGACCCCCGGAGGCGAGAGGCGTATTGTAGAAGAGATATAATGGCGACGGACTCTCTGGAGCCATCATTGCCGACAGCTAACAGCAGAAGCACTGAGTAGCGTTTGTAGAAAACACACCACACCAACGAGTCCTTGGTCAATCAAGCTCCTAGATACTTTCTCTAAAAAAAAAGCATCCCCAGTTAGTGGCACCTTCCTAATTAGCAGCACCAGAAGGCACTACACTTTCCCCCAATCAATGTGGTTGATAAGTGGTGCCACGTTTTAGGTGGGCATGAGGGTGGTGTGGTGAGACAACTCCTTGATGGGGTTGTTTATGGCTAACAGTGGCAGCGTGGCAGACACAGAAGCACGGAGTGGCGGACACAGAAGCACGGAGTGGCGGACACAGAAGCACGGAGTGGCGGACACAGAAGCACGGAGTGGCGGAGACATACAGTACACTATGAGAGGCGAAGGCGGAGAGATTCCGGTACAATTGATGCCCAACCAGTGCACGCGGGTTTGCCTTGCGCTGGATGGAAACGCTGCACCCGAGGTTGTTTCCCCAGCATGTTGCTCCCACGTTATAAGCGCGTCGCGTGGTTATCAACCAATAGTAACGAACAGACCGAGGTCAAGCAGAAGAGACTGAAGTCAAATAAGGTAACAGATCTTGTTTATAACCTGCGAATCCTTTTTAGCTAGCTGCGAAATGACGAAACTAATGCGAAATTCTCGTTACAGCTTATATACCCCCTTCACAAGGCAACCGGGAGGGGCTCAAACAGGCATCAATTGTACGGGGGGGAGCAAGTCACGGAACAGACAACCAACCAGCCGACCAGCGCAACGGGAATGCGCAACAAGGCAGACACGACAACCCTATTGGGGTAGTGCGCAGCTCAGAAATTTGCGGAAGCTGAGTGTTCCGCCTGTGGACTTGTTTCCGCCTAGGCACTGGATTGCGGCGGAGTTCGGATCAGAGATTGTCCACCGCTTTTGGCAAAAACAGTAGTGTGCAGTAAACGATCCAGTGACCGTTAGGACGTCGGCCCAATCGACTTTGATCGGCTCTGATCAGATCGGTTTGGATCGGATCGGATTGCTTGTGATCGTTTTTCTCGCGCCGCCCGATCAGAGATGATTTTCCTCGAATGTTTCTTGCTCTTGCATGAAAACTGTCGGCCCATTACCTGGTAGTTGCATCCCAACTTTGGCGATGCGGACGAATCTCAGTATCGTGGTAATGTCGCCAACATCATGTCCCAACACTCAGTTCTCGCCGATCTGTGTGTGTTCGCAAGGATTTTCGAGACTTCATGGCGAGTTGTGTTACATTTCGTGTAAATCGCCCAGGTCGCCGATCACATGCAATCAAGTGATTGGGGCTGATTGTGTCTGATCGGGTCTGATCGGGCTGTTTGAGGCGGTTGATTGAGTTGGCGCGATCAGCTGATCGCGATCAGCTGATCGCCCCTGATTGCCTGAAATCTGCTTCCCGCCCTCCTCGAAGTTCTTCATCGCCTCTGATCGCGCCGATCAGAGTCGATTGGGCCCACGTCCTTACACTTGTTCGTCAGGTACGTATCCTTACTAAACCGCTCTGTATATGCATTTATCTTTTTTAAACATATCAAACCGGTCTAAGTTTCATTCCATTACTTTCCTAACCAGGTTTTACTTTCTGCCCGCTCCAGTGTTGGTGGTTGGTCCTTCCAGCCAAGGCATCAACCACCATGAACCAACCGCCCCATCAACTGACCAATCACAGTCAAACTGACAGCACAAATGCTGTGCGCGCCAATGCATTCCGTAATTTCTGGCGGATAACGTGGTGCGTGAAACAAACGCAACCATATCACTGGCTGGGCTCGGATCTGATTTGAGAATGCGACAAGCCTACTGGGGAAAGCGCATCCCGCCGCCAGCCAGTCATGCGGATGATGCTTACGTCATGTACGGGTGGTTGCCAGTGAAGGTCTCAACTGCTCGAATGTTCTAGGAAGCTGATTTAAGACTGAACGAATGTTCCTGAAGCTGCTATGGAAGCTGCGTCCTGCATTCGTGGTTGCATTCAAACAAGCAATCTCCGCGATTGGGCGTTGGAGTTTGCTGCTAAATGGGAGGATATACGGTTAGTGGGAAAAAATGGATTGGGCTTGGTAATAGTTTTGAAAGAGAATTGTGTTCATTATTCAATAAAACAAAAGTGACAACAACTATTGCCTGAATAATGGAGCATGGCATGGCATAGATACAGAGAAGGGCTAGCTAGGTGGGGTCCGTGGAATCGCGAAGGTTGGGTGCTGGTTGGGGGTTGGTAAACTAGAAGGCGACATGGAGGACGTTCGGGAGGCAAGGTCGTCATACCGAGCCCAGTCTTCAAAACGACGGAGTTGATCCAGCAAGGTAAGAATCTCCCTCAGGGCGCATGTGATGTTGAAATCTGTATAAGTTCGCATGTAGGCTCTAAGTTTGATTTTGATTTTAGGTCGAAACAACATTATTACCATATCGATGCCCATACTGTAACCTTGTTTTTCAAATCAGTCACAATAACACGCCGAAGTTAGAATGTACAAGTTCGGCCTTCAAGCTGGCGGCCCAAACTTTTCATGCTTTTAAAGCCAGCAGGCAAAATAGTGACCCCCCCCCTTCTAGTTGGGTCCAACTTGAATCAGGTGGTAAGCACAAGTTAAAAATATATCGAGCGGGCACAGCAACCGAGCAGGGCTGGTGTACCCAAACGACTATGCAGAAAATACAACCAATGAAGAGCATCGCCGCAATGTGCAGAGACACAAACGGGCCCAAAAGGTTTCGCACAGTAGGGTTGTTGGAAACAATCGGTCCTGAGCGCCTCTGTCGTGTCGAAACACTAAGGCACAAGCGAAGCGAAGCATACCGAAGCACCGGCGAGTCAACCCTCGGAGGTTGAAGTAACCGCTGGAGGTTACTCGTCTGAAAATGAACGAGAATGAATCCACGATGAAAGAGTTGGGTACAAGTACTAACCCTAATTGGGTTGTACCCCATATAGGCTACCCCACTACAGCCTACACAAAAGCATAAGCTATAATGTTCTGACACACCCCCATAGGCAAAGTAGGGGAGTACAAGGGGTCACAAGACCAGTCAAGCAAAGCAAAGCAAAGCAAGCTCAGGGTGGATCACAAAGTCACCACACATTCCGAGCACAAGGACAAGGCCACAAGGCCAGTTCACATGCAGGAGTACATATACATATAAAAGGCTAGACAAGCAAGAGCAGGTGTATATATATATGTAACAGTACAAGCAAGGTCAAGAGGTGAGCAAGTGAGGCAAGGCAGGCACAAGACCCAGCTGAGTACAGAAGCGCTGATGATCACAAGGCGCAAGCGCCTTGGTGAAGATATCAGCAGTGTTGGCCTCAGAGGCCACGTACTCAAGACGCAGCTGACCACGTTGCTGCAGCTCAAGAGCAAGGAAGTAGCGGAGAGCAATGTGCTTCGTTCTGTGCTCCAGTCTCTGCTCTCGACACAAGGCCAGCATGGCCTTGTTGTCTACGTACAGCACTGGAGGAGAACGAGGCGGCTCTCCGAGGTCACTCAGCAGGTAGGTGAGCCAGCGAAGCTCCTGAGCAGCCATGGCCCCGGCGTAGATCTCAGCCTCACAACTGGAGCCGAGAACAGAAGACGAGCGGGTAGCCCGCCACGAAACAGAGCCGGAACCAAGGCTGAAGGTGTAACCCTGTGACGACCGCTGCGTAGCCTGGTCGTCAGCCCAAGAAGCGTCTGCGTGCCCAGTGAGGACCACTGGACTCTGCCCTCCAAGCACAAGCCCCATGCCTGACGTACTGCACAAGTAGCGCAACACCCTCTTCGCTGCAGCCATGTGCTCCGGTCTGTGTCTCCCAGGAGCAACATAGCGTGCGAGAATGCTAAGAGGGTATGCGAGGTCAGGTCGAGTGCAGGTCATCAGGTACATGAGGCAGCCAACAAGCTCTGGGTACGGGCCACTCGACTCTACGGACTCATCCGAAGGCAGAGCTGAGAGCGAGTGGCGAGTAGGCAGAGGAGTGGCCTGAGGCGAGGAGTACGTGAAG